AAGACAATAAATCATTTGCTAAATATAAGTATTTCTGTGGCTTCTCGGTCAAAAGATAACTCGGAATTTTAAAATTAGAAGAATATTTAAATCATCAACAAAAAATCGTACATGACCATACCAAGTAGTAAAACGAAAAATCGTAATTGCTGGGAATTCAACCCCTTGTGTTCTCCCGTTATTCAGCGTCATTTACTGCTGCGAAATAAACCCTGAACTTCATCTTCTATGTGCTTGTGCCATTACTTTTATAAATTAATTTTTACTTAAAAGCTACTTTTAACTTAATTTTTGGCACTGCACTCAATCGAGATGAACTGAAGCGGTCTGAAACCCACGATGTTTTTGATTAACGAGCGATCTTTTTTTATTTTTATTTTTAGACACGACCACATCAGCGCTGCTTTTATATTGTTATCGTGTATGAATAAATGCCATGCTTTACCTTAACAAGATTCTCTTCATACCCGGATCGCTCTCGAGCGTTCCGGCAAAATTCTAGCAACATTTTTCCGCGCGTACGTTGGAAAAATACAATTAAGATCCCAGAGCCTTAGCCAGAAACAAAAACTATGACTAAGGCAAGGGTTTAATTCGCAGACTTAAAAGTTAGAACCATCTTCTACAGCATAATTAACAGCACCACATGAAAGTACTGCTCAATAGCTTTCATTTGAATGATCACACACACTAGGGTTTCATCCACAAACGTAAAGTTAGAACCACCTTGTACAGCATAATAAACAGTACCACCTGAAACTACTGCTCAATAGCTTTCATTTGAATGGTCACACACAAGGGTTTCATCCACAGACTTTAAAGTTAGAACCACCTTGTAAAACATAATAAACAGTGCCACGTGAAAGTACTGCTCAACAGTAATCTTAGGTATTTAGCAGTGTTTTACCGTACCCCTTCAACAAAACAACAAAAACAAAAAAAAGACCTCGCAAGTGCCTCGGTTTGCCTCATATTGGCTACAGCCCTCGATTCCGTCAAGAACTCAGACGTTTTTCTTTGCCTCTCTCAGGTAATATACTGAACATTTTAGACCTCATTGGCCGAGTTTGTTTGGTTTGGATGTCGAAGTATTGACCTCGTAATGACTGATGTTGAATTGTGGTTTGTCTCAGTCCATATAAACAAGAAAAAAAACTAGGTCAATATTTCTACAGTCGAGACCTCACCGTTGTGTAAATAACAGTTATATAAACATATTGGCACGCACGATCCATTTGCAGTTGCATAAATCTGCGACCTCGATCGTCTTTCTGTACCAAATCCAAAGACGATAAGTAATTCTCACAAATTAATTTGTTTGTTTATTTTTAAGATCGGAGTCGACCGCTTGTGCCGTCTGTTTTCCTTCAAGAATTACCCTCGACCAGTATAGCAACCGAAATAATGGGCCATTCTAGAGTAGCTGAGTGGGTGTACCAAATGGGTGTTTGATTTACAGCTTGGAAAAAATGCGAGTGAAAAACGTTTTCCACTGAAAATTATTCCAAGCTATAAATCAAACTCTCATTTGGTATGAACTATAAATTCAACTGATTTGGAGTGGCCCATTATTTGTTATACTGTTCGGGGGCATGGTGCATAAACCATACTCAATTACCCTTCATGTTTATCGGCCGATAACACACGCGATATTTTAAAGGAATGCTACAATAGATTATCGGAAGTTGTAAAATGTACAACCTTCCGCCTCGCTGCATGGAGGTGATTTCGAGTGATCTGAATTTGCTCGAGAGTAACGCGTCGGCAGCTTTTCCAGAACGGCTGAGAAGAAGAAGTATTTGGCGGCAATGAAGGCACGCCTTTCCCAAGTGCTACCCTGCGACGGGGCCCCCAGCTGGTGCACTTGAAATAATTATGTAACTCCAAGAATTACAAGTACTGTAAACCAATTTATTGTGGTTTCCCCAGAGTATTGGACCTGTTCAAGCTTTTTTATTTGTTCGGTTTTCTTGACAAAATGTACCTCAACAGTTTCTCTATTCTCTTCCAATCTCTTAAACATGCCAAAATTAAAGGAAAACAGAATGGCACTATTTGTTTACTTTTGACTAGTATTTGCCATTCAGTAGCAATTGATTCTAAAAGACTTTTGACAGCCACAAATATGTCGCTGCCAGCACAATATCGAGATGCATCGAGGGTGGGGTGGCGACAAAGTTAGAACTTCACGCTACAGAGGTTTTTAAAATGTTTGAAAGCCATGAGCGTACCCTAAAATGGGTTAGCACCAGTTTGAAATCGTAGAGGAAAACAACCAACATAATAACTTGATGATTGTGTGGGCGTGACAGGTTCTTGACCTTATGGGTTAAGTGGCTGGACAAGCCCAAGTCATCTAAACAATATCTTGTTGTGTGACGTGACGAGACTTAGATCATGGAAGGGACGCTATCACTGTTAGCGCTGGTATGTGATTCACGGTACGTGATAAATTTAGCATGTTTTGAGCACTTAGCTTTCGTTTGGATTAAGTTTATCATTTCTTAATGCGATGTTCTCGTTTTACATGATCTCTCGCACGTATTCTCTCTGACCAAATGAGCTATTCCACGGCTCATTCCACTGAGAAATTAATTTTAAAATATGGCCGGAAACACCACCTTAGCGGAATCTTAGGAATACACCACTTTACCACGGTCTTGAGCAAATTTCAAACACCTCAGAGGAATTGAAATATTTTTCAGAACTCGCACCACCAAAAACGTTCTAAAGGTGATGACAATGCGATACGCTAATATCACACCATTTTAGCGATTGACGTACCTTTTAAGGCTCTTAAAACTGCACGGCTAAACGATTACACTTAAATCCTTTGATCGTAAGCCAAATAACATACCGACGCACGACTGAAATTGTGCGGTTTAACGAAATCCACGATTATGGGGAATATCTGCTGGTCAGGCTAAACTGCAGAACTTTGGTTTGTGGCAGCATTCAAACTTTGGGTTAACAGTCCTAGACAGGGTTCAGGCTAACAGACGGAGATTACGTAAGGAGATAAATTGTTTTATTTTGTTTTATGTCTGTCTGTCAAGTACTTAAGAAAATAATCAATTTATAAAATCACAGGGGGAGTATTTTTTCGCATTTCTCTTGGCACGGAAATTGTAGATTATCGATGTTGTTAATCTCTCGAATTTCTGGCGCGAAAAGTCTTGACCGTAAACGTGAGATTCTTTTATGGTTTTTTTTTTTCAGCGTGGAGTTGTTCAAATCACCACACATCAAACTGTGTACTAATTGATTTATCAACCAGGTGTTAACTGAAAGATAAATGTATTACATTGAAATTTTTATTGACAGCACGTCTTCCGAGGGTTATTTTCCCTACTGATCATTTCAAAGGGAATTCCAGTCCATGGAGAAATGAAGTCTTATAAAAATCGTGTGTTAATAGACGCTTGATATTAGCTGTAACAGCCGTCGTAGCGCTGGTTAAATTTCTGAGTAGCTCCCTTCATTATTTTTATATTATAACCAATTACTGTGCCTTGCAAAACGTGAATTCCGAATATTGGTAATCGTGATTTTTGAATTCCTTTATATTCAATATGCAGCGTTTGAGATATTTTTGGTCAACATGCAACCTCCAATGCTAATGCAGCAGTATTGATTTGAAACAAAGCTGAGAGGTGATGAAGCATGGTCTGTTTGGGATTAATTAGACGAGTCAATAAGAGATTAACACAGCAGCGTATTTTCTCCTCCTTGTTAATTGCTCTTCCACGCCCCTCGCACCATTGTACACACAGCCATTGAAAATTGCCCGCCTACCATTGGCTGCGTTTTGACAAGTTTTACTGTCCTTCGTGTAAATGACACGTGTTAAATGTCATTTATATGAACTGGCAGATGCTTAATTAGTCGTTTACGATGTACTTAGCCTCAGCTCTGTCAAAGCTGCGCGTGAATTGCCAAACGCTCGTCATGAAAAGATTCATGCTGCTTGTGATTTTTGTCCTGGCTTCTGTAGAAGTCGCCGACGGTGTTGTGTACAGTTGGATTCTCAGTGTAAACCCTGTCGACACGGACGAAGGAAAACAGACGACCTCTGACAACAACACTAGAGAAAATTCGACTTTGCAAAATGTAAGTACGATTAGTACCGCGGTTTTAAACTCGGTACCTGCTCCTGATCTGTGCATGTCACACTGTGCTTATGTTCGAAAATAACGCAATGCAGCTCACTCTAACTCCAAATGCCAATTCTAACTTCAGCCCTGCAGAAAGGACAGGCATTGCGGACAAGGAAATTACTGTCACAAACACAACGGCCAATGTCATGCTTGCAAGGCGATAGACTCGCAGTGTCGACGCAACAACATGTGCTGCGCTGGTATGGAGTGTGTGTTTGGAGTATGTAGGAAAGCCTTGCCGCGCGGAAGCCCGGGAGCAAGGTGCAAGAAAGACCGCAAATGTGATTCGGGGTTGTGCTGCGTTAAAGTTCACGGGGAGCCGATCTGCAGACGGTTGCTTGAAGAGGGTGAAGACTGTAGTGTTCCGGAAGGCGGTCTTGATTACTCTTTAAACCAGAAGTGCCCCTGCGAGGCAGGCTTGATTTGCAAGAAAATTAAACATCGACACAGAAAGAGGTAAGGGTTATTAATCAAACCGTAAGCATTTGCACCGGCCGCAGCAGCGCTGATGGCCGCCACATACCCACCACTCTGCCAGACATTGCAATTAGAATTCTGCATAGCAAAGCCGTACAAGAACTTTGACCATAAATAAATAACCCTTCAAGTCCATTACTCTTTTTGACTCCCTTTTTTCCTTATACTCTTCTACAGTAATCTCACTTCCTTACTTCGTTTTCCGTTACCAACCGCAAAAGTTACTTAAATCGTGTGAATTGGGTAATCATTTTATACGCATTTCGTTTATTTGTTTATTTGCAGATTCGTTGCTGGGCTCGACAGAAAAAAGAGAACTTGCCAAAGACTTTAGCCAACGGAAGGAGGTAACAGGGACAATCTGTAGCCGCGAAATGTTGGCGATCGAATTTCGCGTCACCGAATTTGGGAGCGAACAATTGTGCTTAAGGAGTGCACACTAAAGGCCTCCGCACTGCAATATAGACCCAAACTATTGAAGTGTTAGATAAATATAATTATGTATATAACATATTTCACACTCCAAGTGATGTAAAGTAGATTTTAATGACAGTATAAATTATCATGCGTTCTTAATTACATTTCAAGGTTTAATTTACGTGAGCTCGACTTGGAAAGGACGTAAAAGCAAAGGAGTAAAGATATAATTTTGTAGCGTGGAATTAACCATCAATATGCAAAGCCGGGGTAAACATTGTTGAAACTTTTGTTAACTAGTACAATGGCTTTTAGGTGTCAAAACCAAGGCATTTATGAGTTTAATGGACGTAAAGCGTTAAGTGAGTAAACTAACGATATTTTTTTCTCGGAATAAAAAGTTTTAGAAACGACGAAGCAGTACTTTTTTTTAAATAAGTAATGGAAATGTTACGCTCTAGCAATTCTACGCTGTCAGACTTGCGTAACTGGCTCCCTCCAAAGACGCAATTCAGCTAAGCCATTTTTGCATTTTAGAGTTTGCTTGTTAAATCCTAGTGTCAATATTGCATCTTCACGGAGTAACGCAATTATTTGGACTCAACATAGACAGACCACGACATTTCGAAACAACCGGTTTTGTTTTCTTTTCAAATGCTTTTCGTTCCAAAACGATGATTACTTAAACTACAGATAAATCCCTCCCCTCGATCAGGTCGTCTTCTGTAATGGGTAATTAGGTTATTCAGCAAGTACAATGGAAAATTCCTTAACAGCAGATCTGATTGTGCGAGACGACTATAGGCAATGCATTACTGACAGTGGCCAGTCACAATAGCCAGCTAACGAAATCAGGAAAGCTAGACAATGCCAATGATTCTAAAAACGTATAATCATTATGCTTGCCCCTTTTCCAGTTTGAGTAACAACGGGCAATTTACGTCAAGGCTATTTTGAGCTTTTCCGGACCACGAACGTCTTAGGCGAAACTTGCGCGAACAAAACTGAAGCGCCGGACTCCATATAAATTTATGCTTTTTAATAACTGACTTTCATTTTAGTTCTGCACTTTTCGAGCGGCAAAACACGAGGACGCTCTGTGCTGGCAGCTCAGATATTCTTTAACACAGTTGTCAGCAAACTACAGCTAACTTAACGTGCATTTTGTAAGAGCTGGTTTTTATCAATGCAGCACGCGCCGATTAAACTTAAAACCTCCCAGCAATAAACCGACTGCAAAATAAGTCTATGATTTAATCGTTGTTCAAGTCTTTAATCTGACATTTTAACCTGACATTCGTTTAATCTGCACCGTTTAAAAGCGTACGTGTTGTTTTTAACGACGGCCTTAGTAGCCTTGTTGTCTGCAGACAAGGGCTCCAATCTTGTGCTTTATTTAGTTCAAAACATGCTTTTCATTCAGTCACGTTCTTTAAAACTCAGCCAGTTTAGAACCGAGTGCACCCAAACTGCGAAATACTCAATGCTAGGTTTGTATTGAGCGGGCTAGACGTTAATTGTAAACAAATTTTGTAACTGTAAGTACTTCCTGCAGGAGAACAACTAAATACACTCTTCATAAACAAGACCATGAAGTTGCTCCTTGTTGGGTGTTGACATTATTTATCGCACGTTCTCGTGTGTTGAGGAATTCAGCCTACTACGCTAGGTTAAAAGGTCTTGCGTAAAATTGATTGATCTGAATAAAACCTAACACGTACTGGCAAAATACAACGGAGAACGCGAACGCCAACTCAACATGAAACGTCTGGTTGCCGAGTTTTTTTTCTCTCTCAGCGGAGCAAGCACACTGAATATAAATGTTACTCATAAACTCATAAATTGACGAAAAAAATGCTATTTAAGATGATTCGTTTCAGCAAGGAATTCAGTCTCTCATTTTCCAATTCAAGGCACTAAACCTGTATTCTCCACTGAGTATTGACCAGAGCTGATTACGAGGCCACTGAAAAGTCAATATTATTGTAAAGTTGCGTGCGAATATCAATCAGATTTCATTGTGTGTGAAAAAATACCGGTGCTTGCCGGATCAGTCCACAAAAAGAAAAGAGTCGGAAAGCGATAATGGGCGGCTCTTGATTCCAGAATGAATTAAGGTCTTCACATTGACCAAAGCGGAGTCGCTCATAAGCATTACCATTAGCGATTTATGAAGCATAAATCGAGTATTGCATAGTGTGCTCGGATGGAGGCACTCTTGACAGTCCAAAAAGGTTACACCATTACAGATTTGACGGCTGTCCTTTTCATATTTTTTAACGACGGTTGAAATGTAGGCACTAATTCGTGATATTTGGTTTGACAGTTTCCACCCTCTTGTGAGAGTTAAGGGTGTCTCCTAAAACCACTCTACGAGGCTCGCTATTCAAGTTCGATCAAGCGTTTTGACCCTATTCTGAGGCATTTCATTAAAAACCATTCAACAGCTATACCTCCCAGTTATAATGAAGTATTGTTTGCCTGTAATTAAACTATAATTGGGATGTTTGAGATATAATTAGAAAACATGCACCGAGTATACTGTATATGGATGGGTGATCTAAATTTAAACTCTTGACACATTCCTTTCCTTGCCTGAGAAAATTTAATTTGGGGGGCTCAATCTGCACTGTTTTTTTTTTTTAATTTCAAGACGACTGGAGCCTGAAAGTGTAGATAGAACGTTATTTCAGTTCAGTGTTGTCTTTTCAATTGTAGTTGCATCTCCCAGTTATTAATTAAGAGTAACATTCTACAGACAATAAAAGTTCTCTTATCTACTCAAACACTACAAAAAATCCAAGCAGGCGGACAACAAACGCAGAATTTCAGGTCAATAAAAGAAAAACAGCCATTAGAATATAGATATTTAGTAATCCTATGTAAGTCAAAGGCTTGTAAAATACAGATCATTTAACGGATAGAACTGTTGATAACAGTAATATCAAAAGGATGCCTTTTCGTTTGAACGTAAAAGAGCAGTTCTTTTCAAGAGGACGGACATTAGTGGAAACTTTGATCGGCAGTTTCATTTCCAATATTTTAAATGCCTAATACCTCTTCGATTCGTTAGAACGTTGAGGCTGAGAAACAAAAACATTTTTAGAACATGTTAATAAGAAACGCAGCTATGAATGAATGGAAAACAATTTTTCTTTTTGTTGTAAAAATGTCATGTACATTATGAATGTACCTCAGTTCAAATCCATCTGCTTACAGTATTAGTGACTGTATAGTAAGAATGCGTTTAGCCCGAATAACCGGCTTACTGACCACTTAATTATGAACTACTTTCTCAAAAGTTGAAAAAATGAGAACGTGTTAAGAACATTTTCAGGCTTAATTCGTCTTAAAAGCCTCAGATCCCACCTTAAGTTTGTTCAATTTGTGGTCGGCACATAACGCCATCAGTGAAATGTTGAGACAGATATGTGATCTGAAAGTGCCAGGATATAAACATCCCACATTTCGCAGTTGCATCAACATAAAACCGTATTAAAGGTACAGGAAGCATATTTTACGATGCCTGCCCCAGATCATTACAAAAAAAGGCCGATTACATCCTAACGCGCTTACAACTAAGAGCTCATCAGAGTCTGCGTGGTTCCAGAGAGATCCTGTCGCAGAGGGACACATCGCCGACTTTGACCGCACACTTCATATAACCGCTAATTTGAAGCAGGTACAAAAATAGCAAGAAATGTAGCGTTTTCTTCGTGATGTTTCGGAATATTTTTCCGCATCATTTGACTTTCTAGAAGGAATTCTTTTTAATAACTTGGCTAGAGTCAAAAGCATAGTTTGCAATGTTGACATTTTGATCAGTGTGATTTATCCTTGAATTTATTAATACGCACAGAGTTGATGGCTTTTGATTACAAGTCATGTAAATAGCAAGAATTGAAGAGATAAGAATGTTGTTTAGCGGTTTGCAAGTTTACAGAAATTGACGTAGGCAGTTTTGTTATTTAAATTTCCGATTTTTGTTTTACATCTTTTGTTCTCTTTTAATGGTGACGTCATAAAGATATCTGCCAAACGTAATGATATCAGTGTATACCGACTCGGAGAACAAACAACAAATCCCGGGCAACAAATACGCCTTTTTTTGTCCAGTGATTTGGTTTGCATTGCTCAAGAGGCTGCCTGGAGTGAAAAAGATTTCCTTGGCACAGACCATGTTCGAGAAACGTAGACGGAAATAGTCTGTAACTTCAATGGTACGGTATTGAAATGGATATTGTTTTAAATTTCAGGGGCCCTGGAATTTAAAAAGAGAAAAATGTCGAATTTCCAACGTTCTCCTTGAGAAAATCGTGGAGACTAAGCATTAAAAAAAAAAAATGACTCGTTTTCTGCTTGCGGAAAAGGATCCCAAGGATGCCCAAGATTCGCTAGTAAATGTGTTGATTAACTCAAGAGCTATTTCATTTTTTCTACATCTACATCTACAGGATCTACAGTAAGGGGGAGAAGGGGCGCTACAAAGGGATCTACTGGCAATTCAATCACACTGATGAAGGATGCTTGCTCGAAACATCATCTGTTTAATCTAAATCAGTGATTAATTTGTCCTATTCGAGTTCGTCCTTGTTTATCTTCAACAGAAAGCTTTAAAGGCTGGTTTTCACTAGTCGGAGTCATAATCAGAAGCGTAAAGCGATGCGATCTAGTGAAAATCAAACCGACGGAGTTGGAAGAAGAACACCCATTTCGCTTATGACTCCGCCGCTTACGATCTAGTGAACACTAGATTGTCGGAAGCAAAAGCGGAAGAATAAAGCCAATCACAATGCCCGATTCCGGGCCTTGTGATTGGTTGGTTCTTCCGCTTCTGCTTCCGACTCCGATAATCTGTTTTCACTAGGTCATAAGCGAGACCCCTTATGGGGTGTCTGGAAGACCCGCATAACGAATAGCGAATAGTCGCGAATAGCGAATAGCGAATAGTCCCGAATAGTGCGAATAGTCTCTAATAGTGCGAATAGTGGCGAACAGTCGCGAAAAGTGGCGAATAGTGACGAATAGTCGTCAATAGTTACCGCTTTATGTCTAATATCCAGCGTTAATTAATTATCCAAATAAGCAACAGACTTTCAGTGAATTTATTATCTTTTCGAATTCTTCTCCGGACTCAGGCTAGGGCTGTCCATAGCCGACATTAAGAAAAAAGAAAACGCAAGGGTGAGGATAACCTAATAAAGACGTATTATTTACGCAGCGGTTAAAACAGAATAAATTACGTTTAGAAACACCTTTTGTCCTGATAAGCGTCCGTGCTTTTTAGCGGGAAAATCCCATCCTACGCTGCCGCGAGGTTGACTGCGAGATACTGGGTACCCTATTTGCTATTTGCCACTATTTGCCACTATTC